GGCTGGGTGCTGGCAGGCTTGCACCTGGCACGGGCACCGTAGCCAGCCCGTGCCCCTTTAAGGGGTCCGGGGCCGGGAGGGAGGCAATAGAGTTTCCCTGGTGTTGGCCAGAGTGGCCACCAGGGAAACCTGGGGAGGGCTAGCCTCCCACTAGTTCGAATTAAGGGTCTACACAGCCCTTAATTCGAACTAGCTAGTTCGAACTAGGCTTAATCCTCGTAAAATGAGGTTTTCCTAGTTCGAACTAAGCGCTCCGCTAGTTCGATTTAAATTCGAACTAGCGGAGCGCTAGTGTAGCGCCTATGAATGTTAGTTCGAACTAACGTCTGTTAGTTCGAACTAACATTGTAGTGTAGACATACCCTGAGTTGGGCTGTAATTACCTCTATATCCCAGTTGGATGAATGAAGAGCTAAGACTGTTTAAAGAATATTACTTCTGAATTTCCTGACTTTCACCTATTTCGTTTTTGTTTTAATCTACAATATTGTAGTGAGGATCTTTTCAAACTTCATTCTTAATTTCCTATCTTTTGTGCATGTGCAAAATATCCATCAATGTTGCATTAAGATAGTTTTTGCATTTATTACAGATATGCTTGTTCTAAATGTGAAATGGAAGGGATACATTTCTATAGGCATTAGAGGTATATTCTCTATTTGTAACAGTTCATATCTTTGTTAACCAAAGATTCACATTAACAGATTAGTTCAAAATGCTTCCTGGAATATTACATAGAATACACATTCACCTGAATTGTAAAAAAGATAGGAAAATTACAGTGTGATATCCCAGTCTGAAATTGCTGTTTGGACATGTGCCATAAATATACCTTTCTTCCATTTATAGTTTATATCTAGTCAACTTTAAAGGCACATGTCCAAACAGTGTATTGTACGTGATTTAAGAGAGCTTATCAAAAGAAGTCATTACAAATGGTACAACATTAAACATTCTAAGTATTTTTAATATATATTTACCTGATGAAAGCCTAGATAATCCGCAATAGTTGAGGAAGCATAAAATATCATTCCATCTGCATTCACCACCAATGCAAAGCCATTTAGTGACTGGCAAAAGGGAGATAAAATAAAACATTTAACAAGTCAGTAAGACTATTTTGCTCACACATAAAAAGTAAAATTGGTAGGACATTTATTAAAGCTTTTTTTTTCCTAGCATTCAATTATGGAATAACCACATACTAGAAAAGAGAAACAAAAGTGCTGCTAGAATAGACATTTATTAATTTTATTTAGCTTTACTAAAATAGAGCCCTATGACCATGAGGTTAACAGGCAGCATCAGTACTCCCGCTGATTCATCTGCTACATCATATGGACTAGACTCTTCCACATTTACAGTGAGCAAGTTCCATTGATATTTATAGGACTCTGACATGAAGTTGCTATTCAGTGCAAAAGGAGCAGAATCCATGACTAAACAATGATGGGCTAATCAAATATTATTTATCAAATGCAAAGGGAAAATAGCACATAGGTGTATCTTCTCATTTTGATGTATGAAGATTAATTTTCCTAACTCAGAATGTAATTCATGCATATCAACATGAGGCAATAATAGTTTCAAATATAATTAGGCTTTTAAATAGCTCAGAGGTTTTGAACATCACAGCTGTATTGCCAAAAATATATAACATCTGGATAGTAATAGCAGGATTTTAATTATTTCAGTCCTAAGGCCTTAATACAATGATTGATATTAAATGTGTTTCCCACTGCTGATCACAATGTGAAGATATCATTTTAATCTCCCCCCCAGATATATTGTGGTAGTTTTCATAACTTTTCTGCAAAGACCATTCTCTTCCCTATATATAGTGTACCTGGAACCTATGATCTCTTCTTTTTTTTAAAAAAAAACTTACCTTTTTTGGCTACACTTAATACAGAGACTAATTAAAACGTAATAACAATGTGGTTAATCTTTATGATACCTGGAATTACTATTAATTCATACAACTGGAAGATTAATGACATGAGCAAATTACTAGACACCTATTTAAATTTAAAACTTACTATATTCCACTAATTTTTTGGAATATATATTTTGATAAATGAATACAAAACCCTCTAATCATACAAATAACTATACGGGAAACACTTTAATTGTACTACTACTCATATAACTGCTGTTGTATGCTAAAATGTAGCCTTTTTTTCCAAAAACTTTAGCAAACTATATATATATATATATATATCAGTGCTTTAAGTTCTATAGCTTAGGGCTCTTACTTTAAATTTTCCTTACTTTATTTAGATAATTATGCCATATATGGCATATTCATCTAAATAAAGTAAGGAAAATTTAAAGTAAGAGCCCTAAGCTATAGAACTTAAAGCACTGATATCACAAACCAAAACACAGTAAAGACGACAATATATGGAGATTAATATATTAATATTATGCCAGGTAAGGTACCCAAGACAAGTATAAAAATAAGAATGGATATAAATGAAGTACATTACACAAACATTCACATTGCACATATGAATCTAGATTTGTCTAATTTTGCCTATCTTCCCCTACTCCATGACACTTTTTCACCACAGAGGGACTGTATGTCACAAATAGTTTAACTGATCCCTGAATATAGTTTGTATATAATTTTGTTAAAAGCACTGGGACTGTTTGAAATTCAAGCTGAGATATATGGCAGTGCTACTATCATTCCCCTTGCAAATTACAGTGGACATGCCTATTAAATCTCCTGCATGGTGGGGCCAGGTTCCCAAGCGCTCAGTTCCCATGAGGGTGAGATTTTGAATAGTGCTTTGTGACATTTATGGTCAGATTTTTAAAAGAAAACCTCAGCACATGTTGAGTTCCCTGAACATTTTACTCCAATGGCAGTTTCTACCTGCTATGAGTGCCTTAAAGATATGTGAAATGGGTGTCTAGAGAGAGGTCCAGTTAGAGAGGGGTAGTCAATTATTTTTGTCAGGGTTCAAATTTCTTGGCCAAGGTATAGTCCAGGTCCAGTCTCCAGAGAATAAATAAATACATATATACATAAATAATATATACAAATTAAATAAAAAAGTTTTTGGAATCAGTTCAAAAGTGTCTGGTAGTCCAGATATGGCCCATGATCCATCTCCTCACTATCCCTGCCTTAGGGTCTTGTCTACATTAGAAAATAGCACAGTGCCAAATGAACTGATGCTGGCCAGAGGTTAGCTGTAAGGCAAAAAAAGGACAAACTGTAGTCAGCACCATTCATATGAAGAAGTGGGTTGTGCCCACGAAAGCTCATCATGCCATCTATATATTTCGTTAGTCTCTAAGGTGCTGCAGGACTACTCACTGTAGTCAGCACCAGTTTAGCCAACTAGAGTTAATCCCTGCTCAGAATAGGCATTCCCTCTGGCTTCCTGAATGGGTGCTGACCACTAGTTTCGCCACAGCTCACCTTCCAGCAAAACCAATTGCAGAAATGGTGCTATTTTCTACTGCAAACAAGGCATTGGTCTAGATGCCACAAGAAATATGCCATAAGTGTCAGGACTCTGACTTCCTCTCCTTTATGCTGGAGTATCTTTGTGGATGGTATTCAGTCACATCCATTTAGAATCTCAGATGAAGACAAGAAAGGGGTTTTTGGCATCTTGTCTCTTTTGATTCTCCTTTGCAGCAGTGAAACCACCAATGATGTGATGTCAGGAATTTTATTACATTTTAAACATCTGGCAGGCTCTTTAACTAAAACCTCCAGACTAAAAACCTCCACAAAGGTAAATGGAGCATTTATGTGAGCTCCTCTGTGCAGGTGACTATGCTCATAATGTGTACACTGAAAAGAACTTCCTAGTCTCATCAACTATTCATTAGCCGAGATAGCTAGAAATGATGATCTTACCATCTGGCTCAAAAAAAACGTGGTATTTTGCCAGCCCACATCTGGGAAAGCATATACAAAACCTCAAATCACTATGAAACAGAGAGCATAATACTGCAAGAAACAGAGCACCCTTAATTCCGAGTTTTTTGGAGGTTCCATGAAAAATCAGGGTATTCAGCCTGCTAGGTAGTAGTAGACTTTATCTTGTTGGAATTTTCTCAAACTTTATTATTATGGATCAAGAAACTGTTATTCAGATTAGTAAGGAATGTTCGGCACCCAGTATATTGCCACATATAGGCCTGGCACAGTATTACACAAGAGACTGAAGTACGCTTTTAAAATGCAGAACTAATTTCCAATTCACTCCACAGCTAGGAAACATGGAAAGGCTACTGCTAATTGTTCTAAAAACTGGGGTGGGATTGGAGCTGTAGGAAGGGTTTGTGGGGGAGGAGATGAGGGGAACATCTACACAGCAGTGTTATTTCTGAATAAATTATGTTATTCTGAAATAAGTCGGCATCTACACTGCAAGCAGTTATTTCGCCATAATGTCAAAATACTGTCAAGCTGGAGGACTTCTTACTCCAACTCCTGTAACCCTCATTTTACAAGGAGTAAGGGAAGTCAGAGGGAGAGTGCTCTCTCTCGGACTTTCTGCTGTGCAGACAGCACCAAAAGCTCAAATAAGCTGTTTAGACTTAAGCTAGGCAATTGACGTAGCTAAGTTGCATAGTTTATTTCGGCTTTAACCCTGCTGTGTAAACATGCCCTACGTGAGCATATGAATGTGTAAGGAGAGATGAGATAAGTGTGGGAGGGAAGAGGGGCAAGTGTGTGTGTGTGGGTCAGAGAGATGGGGGGTTGGAGGAGGTGTTCATGGGATAGGAGTTGATGCAGGAGGTTCAGGAGAGGGTTTCAAGGATGTATCTATTTGTGTAGAGCTGGCACAGAGCGGGGAAGTGCAGATGTGTGGAGAGTGCAGTTGCCCTGGGTTATTCTTTTTTGTAACATCTACCTTCTTCTCTAGTTTCTGAGGGGAAACCTACCAGAGTATCTCCTGGTTTCCTCATGTTTGAGCCTAGCGTTTTGAAGCTACACGCTCCAGAAGAATACAGGGAATGGTAGACACTGTTGTGCAGCAGCAACCCTAATTCCATGTTAGGAAAGTTATTTGTGATTAACTCAAGATCCATGTTACAAAAATCTTACATTAGCTGGCAAAGCTGCAATACAACCCACACTCACTAAAAACAACAGTTGAATATGGAGCAAAACTTTAAAACTGAAAACCAGGTCTTTGGCTGATTTTTAAAAATGTTATTTTAAAACTCTGCTCGATGGGAAGACATATTCTGCATAGCAGAGAGGACTCAGTACAAATGTACAGGCAGTCCATTGCAGTTCTAGCCCAGAAACACCAGCAATCTGCTTGCACAGGCTGGAATGTTGGAGCTCACCCAATCCCTGCCCCATTTTGCCTGCTGCTTTCTGCATGTGTGTGAAAGGGAATATAGCAGTCCTATGGAAACTGCACAGCGTCCAGGCAGTGACCCAAAGTGTAGGTAGCTGGCATCAGAGAATAAGGGGGCACCTTACAGGAACGTGTAGACGTGTAGGAAAGGCTACCAACTGGCTCTTAGATTTTAGAGAAAAAAGAAACATTCAAAGACCTTCATTCTGTAATTCTTTGTCCAACCTGTGTTTACTACCTACTACAGTAATAGTGATTCATCAATAATAATTCAATTGCCTGCCAACGCAATTTTCAACCCTCGAGCATATTTACTTTTTCAAAAGGTTTCATAGTAGAAATTTGAGCAGTGACAGCTAAACACAACTTTAGTGTCTAAACTGTAAAAATAAGTGATTGTAAAACACCATTTGGTAAACCATATGGATTCAATGACAGATGGAATTTCTAATCCAGGCTAAAACTTGAAACATGTGAGACAGACTTAACTATGCACTGCAAACACTTGTTTGTGTTTGGCATTGTTTGTTTAAGCAACTCATGTTTCTTACATTGTACATTAAAAATGAAATCACTTTTTTCCAAATGGAAAAAAAGGGCTTGGCATTGAACTATGGGTTGTGTTCTTTTTAAAAACAACTACATCCAATTATGTACTCACGAAAAGCTGCACCTGCTGCTTAAACAAAAAACAATTATTATGTCAGTTCAAAGCAAGTTCACTGTTACTT